TCAAAGTTATAACACATGTAGGATTCCTGGCATATAGTCTAAATGATCTCTTGAGAAAGTTTTATGTGTAAGTCTGATGTTGGGTAAAATAAAGGTGTCTGCTAAGTTCATGTGATCTGTGGTATTGTTAACTCTGACATTTGAAGTGTTTTGTTTGGATGATGTATTTACTGATGAGAATACAGTATTGAAGTTACCCTCATTATATCTGGGTTTATTTGTTCCTTTATGCTTAGCAGTGTTGATTTTTATGAAATTTGCTACACAAATATTTATTGCATATGTATTTACAATCGCTACATCTTTAAAAATTATTTTATGTGTAAAAGATGTTTATACTTATTTATTTTAATATTTTATTTGTTATTTTTATGAATGTATTACCTGCTTGTATGTAAATGCACCTGTGTCATACAATGCCCATGGAGACCAGAAGAGGGCGTCATATTCCCTGGAACTGGAGCTAATGGATGCCTGCCATGTGGGTGCTGGGAATAGAACCCAGGTCTTCTGCAAGAGTGGCCAATGCTCTTAACCTGAGCTATCTCTATAGTCCCTGTTGTTACATCTTGATGTTCCTTTTCCTTTTCCTATTTTGAGACAGGTCTCACTCTGCAGCCCAGGCTAGCATGTAGCTTACTACATATAAACCTAGACTGGCTTGGAACACTTTGGGCAGTCCTCCTTCCTTAGCATCCCAAGTGCTGTGATTATGAGCTTGAGCCATTGCACCTGGCTCTTTTTTTTTTTTTTTTTTTTTTGCTTTAAAGTATTTATGTTCTTTATGTGTATAACTGTATTGCCTACATGTATGTAAGTGCACCTGTGTCATGCAGTGCCCACAGAAGTCAGAAGAGGGCATTGGATCCCCTGGAATAGGCGTTACAGATGGTTATTAGCTGCCATGCTGGGAATCAAACCCAGGTCCTCTGCAAGGGCAGTCAGTGCTCTTAACTGCTGAACCATCTCTCCAGCCTCGTTCTTTAACTTTAAAAAATCAATTTAAGAGGAGTGGCCCAGTGAGATGGAGGTACTTGTTATCAAGCCTGACAATTTGAGGTTGATCCCCAGGAACCCACATGGAGGAAGAAGACTGACTCCTACACTCCTCCTACAAGTTGTCCTCTGACTCTCTCTCTCTCTCTCTCTCTCTCTCATACACAAATGTAATTTAATTTTTTAAAAAGTTTAATATGTTCACATAAAATTAAAGGCACATGCCTTTAATCCCAGCACTCAGGAAGCAGGTGAATCTTGGTGAGTTCAAGGGTAGCCTGGTCTACATAGTGAGTTCCAGGCCAACTGGGGCTACAGGGAGACCCTGTCTCAGAAAGAACAACAACAACAACAATCTGCCCATTTAAAGTGTAGCTGGAAAATGTAGCTCAGTGGGTAAAGTACTTGCCCAGCAAGCACAGAGCCTTGGATTCCATCTCCAGCACTGTGTAAAATCAGGCAAGATGATGAATGCTTATAATCAGTTCATCACTAGAGATATGGAGGCAGGAGGATCAGAAATTTAAGGTCTTCTTTAGCTACATAGTGAGAGGCCAACTTGAGCTGAGATCCTGTCTCAAAGAAACCTAAAGAAAACTCAAGCCCCAAAGTGTATATTGTTGAATCAATTTTTTTAGTATGTTTACAGTTGTGGTTCTGTTCCCTCAGCTTTAGAACATTTTTTATTCCCCACAGAATAATTTTGCCCTCTCCTTTCCCCTTTATATACTTTATGATGGATAAAGTCAATTGTTGACTTACAGTCTCTAGAGAGTCTAGAGAGTTTGTTCTTGTAGTTCTACCAGAGTTCCTTATTCCCCCTCAACCCAGTACTTTTAAGTGTTTTACTTCTGATATTTAATTTTCAGTAGCCCGACTTTGATTAGTATGACTTAAAACTTATTCCCTCCTCCATTGATATTCGTTGAGTTTCCTGGATATTTGGGATAACATCTTTTACTTCCAGAAAATTTTTGCTCATTTTCACTCCAGCTGCTTCTCTATTTTGTCATTTTGGAAGTGCAATTAATGTTCGGTCAGTTGGTATCCTATAAATCATGGATACTTTTTTTCTTTATCCTTTGGTCTAGGTGATTTACTACTTTAATTTCAGCTAACTTTCCACTGTGATAGGGATGTTAAAGCCTTTTCTTTCTGTCAAGAGCTTGGAACCTAAGCTCAGGGAAGATGCAAATTCTTTCTGTTTTCAGGTCATCCTCCCTATTCTTGTGGTTTTATTGATAGAAGTGTTCTGGGAAATAACTGTATGACAGTAGCCACTAACTTTCTGTTTGGGGTCTTCCAGATTCTAGTATACCCTTGCTGAGGCATTTAAAAATGTGGTTGAGGACTGGTGAGATGGTTCAGCAGGTAAAAGCGCTTGGGTACAAGTCTGACACCCTGAATTAGATCCAGAATCTCAGAAAATGGCATGAGAGAACTGTTACCCCTGAAAGTTGTCCTCATGTTTTCACACCCGAGTTTGCACTCCCACACTTGCACACAAAAATTAATAATATGAAAAGTGCATAGATCAAAAGTTCGGGCTAGAAGGTGGAGATGGAGGTGGAAGGTGAGAGGAAAGCTTAAATTCTTAGAGCTCATGGGCTAGTCAGCATAGCCAATTGCTGAGCTCCAGGTTTAGTGAAAGATTCTTATATAAAACATAAGGTGGAAAACTGGTGAGATGATTTAGTGGGCAAAGATTCTTGCTACTGAGTCTGAGGATTTGAGTTTGGCCCTGGAACCCAGATGGTGGAAGGAGAGAACCAATTTTCAGAAGTTATTCTCTGACCACTACCCAAGTGCTGTGTTATGTATGCCTGTGCTCATTTGTGTGTGTGTGTGTGTGTGTATGTGTGTGTGTGTGTGTGTGTGTGTGTGTGTGCATGGGCACATGTACACATAAATGTATATATAAATAATAAAAAGGGGGAAGAGTGATAGAGGAACACACTGGGCATTGACTTGTGGTGTCCATATGCATAGACCTGCACCTACACACACAATTTGTTTGGTTTCTCTGTGTTTTAGCAAATATTCTTTGCCTATAGCTGCTTGTTTTTTCTCTCCTCAGTATATTTTATTAAGGCAGTGTAAATGATGTGGTTGACAGCAGGAGCAATCTGGTCATCTAGAGAGTGCTGGTCCTTCTTTAAACTCTGGTTCAATGATACTTTTCTCTAGAAATTTGTAGTAGTTTTAAAGAAAGATAATTTATTTGATTTTTTTTTTTTTTTAATTCATGTGGCAGAAGTAATGGTGTTCTGTTATCTACATTTTAACCAGAAGTAGAAGTTATTCGTTGAAGGATTTTTGAGCAAGTTTTGCAGGAGCAAGTAACTACATGTTCATGTAATGGTGACTTGTGCATAGTTGAGATATTTGAGTTTTATTGACACATTAAGTTAGTAAGTTGTGAAAAAATTAATGCTTTGTTAGTGATATATTGGAGTTGGAATTCTATTAAACTGAGATGCAAAAGTGAATTTGTGTGATTATAGCACATGAAATTTACCATAGATTATTGTTTAAGGTACAAATGAAAGCGCTGAGGATAGATGATGATATACTTTGAAAAATGTCTGAGGCAATGTATGCTTTTCTCTTTAGTTTCAGAAGTCAGGTTGGCAGACCTGGTGGTAGGTACCTTTATCCACTGAGCCATCTTGTAGGCATACCTGACCTTGAACTTCTTGCTGTCCTTGTCTCAGCCTCTTAAGTTCTTCCATACATGCATGTTCCCTCAATACCTGGTTCATGTAATGCTGAAGATTGAACCCAGGGTCTTGTACATGGTAGACAAGTACTCTACTAACTGATTATCATACCCAATTGTATATACCCTATCATTTTATTTTAGAAGCGTTTGTGGCAAATTCTTTATATTGAAAGCATGCTTTTTGGTGGTGGTGGTGTTGCGGGTTGCTGGAAATTAAACCTTGAAGCTAAGCAAGCAATCTTAGCACTGAGGCACGCCTCTCTGTTCCTTGAAAGTGAGTTTTTTTAAAATTATTATTATTTTTTTGAGACAGGGTCTCTGTGTAGCTCCAACTGGCCTGGAACTGGCAATGTAGACCAAGCTAGCCTCAAACTCAACAGAGATTCACTTTCCTCTGCCTCCTAAATGTTGGGATTAAAGGCGTGTGCCAACACATCTTGCAAAAGTGAGTTTTTAAATTTTAAAGTTGCAAAATCTTCTGGCATTAACGTGAGTATATTAAAAACCACTGTACTTTAATATGATGGTTAAAGTGTTAAGTTTTATGTTACATGAATTTTACTTGAAATACTGAAGTGAGCTAGAAGTTTGAAAGCAATCTCTTACTTAGTTTACTGCAATTCCTAGATATAATAAAGTTTTTTTTTTTTCCCCCGGGGGGTCTTTTTTGAGACAGGGTCTCCCTGTAGCCCCAGTTGACCTGGAACTCATTGTGTAGTCCAGTCCAGGCTGGCCTTGAACTCACAGAGCTCCTCCTGTCTCTCCCTCCCGAGTGCTGGAACTAAAGGCATGTGTCATCATGCCTGGTTATAGATAAGTTTTTAAAAATTAATTTATTTTTGCCTTATTGACAGTGATGGTACATGGAGTTTTAAGAGTTTGATTTGGGGTAGGTCCTAGCTAACTTTTGAAAATTGAGTTAAGCAATACCTAAAGGCAAACATTTTATTATATATTTTGCTTTTTTATTTAAGGATAAGAGAAAACTATTCTTTTCTTCCTCGTGTTTTATTTATATAATTTTTTGAAACATGGTCAGTTTATGCAGTGATGGGGGCTTGAACTAGCACTCCTGGGCTCTAAGCAAGTACTACACTGCTCTGAAACACACATCCCTAGCTCTGAAACCTTGCTTCTGAGAAAGTTGTTAATTTATAGGGAGTTTTTAAGGAATGGATCATGAAATCTGAAACATTAATTGGTCTTAGGAAATCTGTTTTTCTCTCCTTGAGTCTTTTTTATGGAATGTTCATTATTTTTTATCCCTCCTCTGTCTCTCTAGTCTTATTGCCAACAATTTTGATGATGATTCCCATATTGCCTCGCCATTAGACCCAAATGGAAACTTCAATGTTGTCATTAAAGAGGAACCTCTAGATGATTATGACTATGAACTTGGTGAATACCCAGAAGGGGTCACTGTGAAACAGGAAGAGACCGATGAAGAAACCGATGTATATTCGAACAGTGATGATGATCCTATATTAGAGAAACAATTAAAGAGGCACAATAAAGTAGATAACCTGGAAGCTGACCATCTGTCTTGTAAATGGCTACCAAGTAGTCCTTCAGGTGTTGCTAAAGCTAAAATGTTTAAATTAGATGCAGGAAAGATGCCAGTAGTTTACCTGGAGCCCTGTGCTGTCACCAAAAACACTGTGAAAATTTCTGAATTGCCTGATAACATGCTTTCCACATCTCGCAAAGATAAATCTGTGTTTGCAGAATTAGAGTATTTGCCTACGTACATTGAAAATTCCAGTGGGAATGGCTTCTGCTTAAGCAAGGATTCAGATAATGGTCCTAGAAAACATTCATCAGATCTCAGAATGGTGCAAAAATATACATTACTTAAAGACTCTCAGTGGAAATATCCTGATATATTTGACAACATCAGCACAGAAAGAATACCTGACAGTTCAAAGGGATCAGCTGGAGACTCATCTTCAGGAAAAGAGGACTCGGGCAGAAAGCGAACAGCTATGCTTAAGACTGCTACATCCCCAAAGGCTCCTGTGACTGCTAATCAGAATGCCTCTCCAAATACCCCTGGAAAAAGAGGAAGGCCTCGAAAGTTGAAGCTCTCTAAGGCAGGGCGACCACCTAAAAACACAGGCAAGTCTTTAACTGCTGCAAAGAATACTCCTATAGTTCCTGGAAATTCCTTTCCTGATGTGAAGCCTGATCTGGAAGATGTGGATGGTGTTCTCTTTGTTTCCTTTGAATCGAAGGTAAGATGGCAATTTTCAGCATTCTTTGTGAGATCAGTTAGTCATTCTTAAATTACATATTGATTTATAAGTTAGATCTAGTTTTGTTAATGTGTCCATTTGTGAGTGTGCTAGAGGAAAGGGAGTGTCTCTAATGTTTGGTGGCTTTAACATGCATCACCACTTAAGATACTTGATTTGAAATAGACTTTAAAAATTACTCCTGCTTAGATTCATCAGTTCATGATTTGTGCAGTATATTTTATTTTATTTTTTTGAAAGACAGTGTGTCACTATATAGCTCTGGCTGACCTAGAATTCTATGTAGACCAGGCTGGCCTTGAGCTCACAGAGATCCTCCTGCCTCTACCTCTGCTTCTGCCTCCTGAGTGCTGGAATTAAAGGCATACCAGACTCTGTTTTTTGTTTCTTGTTTTATTTTGGAGGCTGGAGAGACGGCTCAGTGGTTAAAAGCACATACTGCTCTTGCAGAGGACCCAAAGTGCAATTCCAGCACCCACATCAGGTGACTCACAGTTGCCTGTAACTTCAGCTCCAGGGGGAACCAATGCCTCTGGGTTCTACAGGCACTTACACATACCTGTGTACCCACATGCATACCTTAAGAAATTAAAAAAAAAATTTTTATTTGGACCTGGAGAGATGGCTCAGAAGTTAAAGCCCTGGCTGCTCTTGCAGAGAACCCAGGTGGGGTTTCCAACATGCACATGGCTGCTAACAGCCATTCGTAACTTCAGTTTCAGGGGATGTTGCCTGCATGTGTGTAAGTGTACCCATGTCATGCAATGCCCGGGTGGGGTGGGATGGGGTGGGGTGGTGGTGGTAAGGAGAGGGCATCAGATCCCCTGACTTCTTTTGTTTTAAGCATTGGGTCTTACTGGAGTTTTCATCACTGCAGCCTTGAAGAAAGCATAAAAATACATGAAAAGTTTTTTTTGAGATACTGCCTCTGTCTTATCACTGATTAGTAGTAATAGTAGAGTATAGGAAAACGATATACTAGAAGTCTTAATGACTGCTGTCTTACTCATGATATGTTCTTGGTTTGGACTGCTCTGACTCTCCATTCGGGTTATTTTTCTTGTAGTATTTTATAGAGGCCTAGTATTTTTCTAAATTGACTATTGGTGTTGGATGTTTCTATCTAACCTATTCTTCTTCCTTTATTACCAAGTAAACTTTATATAGGCTTTGAGAAATCAGCATGCAAATTGGTAATAGTTTGATGTTAGTTGGAGTATGATACTATCCAGGTGTTTTTGCTTTTTTGTGTTGTTATTTTGAGATATTCTCAAAATATTCTCTGGCCTTGAACTCTCAGTCCTCCCATCTCAGTTTCCCAAGTGCTTTTGTACAGATGTGAATCACCATGCTTGGCCTTTGTTTTGCTTTTTTTCCTTCTGATTTTTTTTTTTTTCTTGTTTTCCTTTTGTGTTTTTGTAGGGGAAATGAGGGAAAGCAATACTGGAGATCAAACTAAGGGTCTTATATATGCTAGGCAAGTGCTCTCCCTCTGGGCTACATTCCCAGCTCCTGATGATTAAAGTAATTTAATGCTAATATAGAACATTTAGAAAATAACAAAGAGTATGCATTGCTAGATGTGGTGCTGCGTGCTTATAATCCCACCACTTGGGAGGTAGAGGCAACATCATCAGGACGTGAAGGCCAGTCTCAGCTACTTAATGAGTTTGAGGCCAGCCTGGGCTACATAAAACCCTGTCTCGAAAAACAAATATCCTGGGGCTGGAGAGATGGCTCAGTAGTTAAGAGAACTGTCTGTAACTCCAGTTCTAGGGGATCTGACATCCTTATCTAGGCTTCTCTGGGTATAATATGCATGTGGTCTACTTATATCTAGGCAAACACATCCACACATAAAAAAAGAAAAATAAATAATAAACAAAACCAAACAAATGTCCTTCAAAAGTATGAGAAAAATTCCTCCTGTTCTGTGAATTTGGAATTATCACTATAATGTGGTATTTCAAAGTCTTAAAAAAAAAAAAGATTTTATTTTCGTGTATGTCTTTGTAGAGGCCAAAGGCATTGGATCCTCCAAGAGTGAGGTACAGGTCTTTTGTGACCCACATGGTTCCTAGGAGTTGAACTTGGGTCCTCTGGAAGAACAGCAAGTGCTCTTAACCACTGTGCCATCTCTCTAACCCTTTTTTATTTTTAAATTAAAAAATTTTGGATGTGTGTGTGGGTTTGTGGGTCTGTGCATGTATGTGGATGTCATTGTGTATGCCTGTGTGGGTGTGTGCAAAGGCCAGAAGACAACATTATGTACTCTTTTTTTGAGACATGGTTTTTCACTGAACCTAGGGCTCATTGAATGGCTAGACTGGCTGACAAATGAGTACCAGGGATCCTTCTGTCTCACCTTCAGCCCCCACTGGGGATTACAGACATATGCCATCATGCCCAGCTTTTACATGGGTGCTAAGGATCCAAACTCAGGTCTCATGACTGCTTGGCAAGCATTATCTCTACTGAGACATCTCTCCAGCCTCTGGTCTTTACTTTTCCTTTTTAAATTAAAATTTCCTTTTAAAAATTTAAAAGCAATATGAACTAGATCTTGTTTTTATTTTTAATATATAGGAAGCTCTAGATATTCATGCAGTTGATGGGACAACAGAAGAACCCTCTAGTCTTGAGACTGCAGCTACAAGTGACCCAGGTATATATATGTTGTTTTTGTTGTAGTAGAGAAATGGGGAACGTTAATTTTTTCCTCTATTAAAAACAGTATTTTATTTTATTGTTTTGTAAGTAGGTTGCAGAGCAAAAATTTCCCAGTTGGAGAAGGAATTAGTTGAAGATTTGAAGTCTTTGCGACATAAGCAGGTGATACATCCTGGTCTTCAAGAAGGTAATAGTTATTTTTCTTTTGTTTTTTTATTTTGTTCTTCCTTGTTTTCCTCTCTACCTTGCTTCTTTTGCTCATTTCTCCCCTCTTCTTTTCTCTTTCCATCCCTGATTTCTTTTTAGTACTTCTCAAATTGCATTTTTCTTTTCTCTGCTTCTAAAGTTCTTTTCAACTTAAAAATGTGCCTGGGTCTTTATCCTAATGCTTAATAATTGGAAAAAATATATCACAATAAGAAAGCAATATTTTCTCTTCATTCTTGTAGCCAATGACCCTTCTCCCCATTTCTCATTTTTTAAAATTGCATTTATGAGTATTTCTTTAGGAGGGGAGGGTACAATTTATCCTTATTTTTAAATAACGTTTTTTGTGTATACACATATAAACATACATGTGTATATATATATATATATATATGATATATCGCACATATATACTCTTGGGGGGGTTGAAGAGATGGCTCAGTAGATAAAGTGATTGCTGTATAGCATGAAGATCTGAGTTTGATCCCCAGTACCCATGTAAAAAAAATGTGAATACCGCCGGGCGTGGTGTGGTGGTGCACGCCTTTAATCCCAGCACTTGGGAGGCAGAGGTAGGCGGATCTTTGTGAGTTCGAGGCCAGCCTGGTCTACATAATGAGTTCCAGGACAGCTGGGGCTACAGGGAGACCCTGTCTCAAAAAGACAAAAAAAAAAAAAAAAAAAAAGTGCACCTCTAATCTCACTGCTTGGAAAGAGAGATAAGAGAATCTGTGGGTCTTGCTAGTCAGTCAGTTTAGCCAAATTGTTGAGCTCCAGGTTCAGTGAAGTTTGTCTCAGAAAATAAGATGAAGAGTGATTGAGGAAGACACCCCACTTGTACCCACTGTTGGCTTCCACATGCTTAGATGTGCATGCGCACACACATACACACACAAGTACGTACACACAAATGAATATTTTTTTCTCATATGGCTGCAAGTGTTTAAAATTTGGTGTACTGTTGGGAATTTAATTTAAACATCTAGGGCTGCATGTTTGTAAATGCACGCATGTTGTTCAATGCCCACAGTGGTCAGAAGAGAGCTTAGGGTCCTGTGGAACTGGAGTTAACAGTTGTTAGCCATCATGTGGGTGCTGGGAACTGAAACTCAGGTGCTCTGCAAGAGCAGCTAATGCTTTTTTTTTTTTATAAATATTTTATTTATTATTTTTATTTTACATGTATGTGTGTACTGCCTGTATGTAGGTAACTGCTCCCGTGTCGTGCAATGCCCGCAGAGGCCGGATCCCCTGGAACTGGAGTTATGGACAGTTGTTAGCTGCCATGTTGGTGCTGGGATTCGAACCTGGGTCTTCTGCAAGAACAGCCAGTGTTCTTAACTGCTGAGCCATCTCTCCAGCCCCAAGCAGCTAATGCTTTTAACTACCGTGCCATCTCTCTCAGTCCCCAAACTTAAAAAAAAATTGTGTTACACGCATGTGTGCATGTTCATTTATGTGCAGAGGTACACATGCACATTTGCTCGGCTGTGTGGAGGCCTGAGGTTGGCATCTGGTGTCTTCCTCTGTCACTTGCCACCTTATATTTTAAGATAGGGTCTCTCATTGAACCTGGAACTTACTGGTTCAGCAAGACTGGCTGGTCCAGGGATTCTTTTATTTCTGTCCCCTGAGTTCTGGGATAGAGGTATACATTCATGCACCATGCATTTTATATTAGTGCTGGGGATCCAAACCCGAAAACAGGCTCCCATGCTTGCATAGAAAGCACTTTATGGGCTACTATTGCCCTAGCCCCTTTGTGAGCTCTTGATTGGAAACCTGTGTTTATTTTTGTTTTGTTTTTATTTTTGTGGCCTCACCTGGCCTGGAACTTGCTATGATTTGCCTGCCTCTGCCTCCAGAGTGCTGGGATTAAAGGCGTGTACCACCACGCCCAGCTTAAGTTGGGTTTTTTTGTTTTGTTTTTATTTTTATGTGTATACATGTATTACCTGCATGTAGGTAAGTGCACCCGTGTTGTGCAATGCCCTTGGAGGTCAGAAGAGGCTGTCGGATCCCTGCCATGTGGGTGTGGGATTCGAACTGGGGTCTTCTGCAAGAACAGCCAGTGTTCTTAACTGCTGAGCCATCTCTTCAGCCCCAAGTTGGTTTTTTTTTTTAAAAAGTAGTTTACTTATTGTTTTTATTTTATGTGTAAGTGTATTGCTTGCATGCATGAAGAAGGCATCAGATCCCTGGAACTGGAGTTACGGATCATTGTTAGCCACCATATAGGTGCTGGGAACCAACTCAGGTCCTCTGGAAGAGCATCCAGTACTCTTAACTGCTGAGCTATCTCTCCAGCCCCTGTGGCAAGTTTTGTTTTGTTTTTAAATTAGAGGCTTGAAAGTCTCAGACTTCAGAAGATTAAAAAATAAAAGATCTGAGGCTGGAGAGATGGCTCAGTGGTTAAAAGCACTGGCTACTCTTGCAGAGGACCTGGGTTCGATTATTAATACCCACATGGCAGCTAACAACAGTCCTTAACTCCAGTTCCAGGGGATCTGACACCCTCTTCTGACTTTCACGGGCATTGAATGACATGGGTGAACTTACATAGATACAGGCAGTCCATTCATATACACATGATAAAAATAATAAAATACTAAAATAAAAGATCTAAATTATATTATACTTCATTTGTTATTTTTAAATTTATTTTTGCTTAAAAAATTACAAATTTGGCAACCTATAACAAATACATTTATATTTTATATTTTCTGTGTATCTGAAGTCTGAGCATGGCTTAACTGTGTCCTTTGCTTAGGGTTTCACAAGGCTGCAATTAAGACATTGGTGAGGTGATGGTGAGGCATGTTTTCTCATTGGCTGGCGAGGATTCTGCTTCCATTCTCCCTGAGCTTGTTGACAGAACTTATTCCCATGCAGCTCTTACATTATCACATGTATATAATTATGTATATTCCCATGCCCTGAACCACATTTCATTGGTTATAAGCAAATCATAGACCTTGCCCAACTTGGGTGGATGGGAGGGCTTGTACAATATGTAATACCTGAAGGTGAGAATTTAAAGCGAAGCTGCCACTATTTAATCATTTTTGCTCTACCATTTCCTTTATGACTCTTTGAGCCAAAGGTTTTGGGTTTTTTTTTGTTGTTGTTCTTTTTGATTGTTGTTTTGGTGGGGGGCTTTTTGTTTGTTTGTTTTTAAGTTAGAAGGAAAGGGAGATAATATGGGCTGTGGTCCTTTTTTTTTTTTTTTTTTTTTTTTTTGTAGTGGGCTTAAAACTGAATTCAGTGGATCCAACAATGAGCATTGATCTTAAGTACTTGGGAGTACAACTACCTTTGGCTCCAGCCACTAGCTTTCCCTTTTGGAACCTTACAGGAACCAACCCTGCCTCTCCTGGTGAGTGTGTAGCATTTGTAAAGTTGAACACAATTTTTCATATTTAAAGTTACAATTCTTTGTGGTATAAATTAAAAAGAACTAAACCTTTATTGGAGTCATTTAGGATGTTTTAGAGTAAATCTTTCATGTCTTGACATAATACTAATGCATATAATGTACTTACAGTAATTTGATGTATGTTATTGGCTTGCTAGAATTTTGGTCATCTCTCTTTTTCTTTTATAGATGCTGGGTTTCCTTTTGTTTCTAGGACGGGAAAAACCAATGACTTCACCAAGATCAAGGGATGGAGAGGAAAATTTCACAGTGCTTCTGCATCTAGGAATGAAGGTAATTAGCTTTTTGGTGTTTGTTTGTTTGGTGGGTTTTTGTTTTGTTTTGCTTTTGCTAGTAGTAAGGCTTGAACTTCTGCTAGTAGTAAGGCTTGGACTCATACCTACTACTTAAGAGCTCTAGTGCTGAGCTGTAGAACCAGGTGTTTTGGGGATACTGTTTCACTGCATCAGATGCTGGCTCTGAACTCCCAGTCTTTCTGCCTCAACCTCCCAAGTGTTAAAAGTAAAGGCATATTTCACCATGCATATGACGGGTAATTAGTTGGGTTTCTAAAAAATTATTTAAAAATTCCAATTTATATTTTAAATTCAACCTCCCAAGTGTTAAAATTAATGTCTCCATGGGTATGGCTGCTAATTAGTAGGGTTTTGTTTTGTTTTTGTTTTATTTTTAAATTTTACATGTGTTCTGAAACATGTAACCAAGTACTTTTTGTTAAAGGTCAGTCTCACTCAGGTATGATAGTGCATGCCCTTGATCCCAGCACTTGAAAGACATGTAGGCTTCCTCTACATAGCAAGTTCCAGGCTAGCCAGGGTTACATAGGCCTTTAAAAAAAAAAAAAAAAAAGAGGTTTCATGTAACTATTTTTCTTTACTCTTTTCATCTCTCCGTGCTTTAAATTGAATTGAAAACAATGTCTTGCTGATCTTTGTTTTTTCCCCAGCTATGCATGCCCTGGGGTTTAACTCCTAACCATGTCAAGCCTAATAATTCTTGGATTTTTCAAACCACAAATCCTTTTGTTACTCTTAGTTAGAAAAAGCATTGTTTTCAATCATTATTTCAGAACTGTGTACTTAAGAGCAGTCTAGTTGTTCTGATAGTCTCATTTGTCAGAATAAACTTTCTAACCCAAGAATTTTGTTTAGCCACTATGTGTTGTTCCTTTCTCATTGCTTTTGTTTGCTATTTACACCTTAACCAGTTTAATTATCCAAATTAGTCTTCCCTACTTTTGAATCTTTATATAGTGCTATAAACAGTGTAATAAGTTTGAATCTCTACTAAATGTATATTTTTCTTTCTTAAAAACTGATGTTAGGTCAGGCGTGGTGATATACACCTTTAATTCCATCTAGCACTTGGGAAGCAGAGACAGGATGATTATAAAAGGTCTAGCTTAGTGTGTGCTTAGTCAGTTCCGAGATATCCAAAGCTACACAGTGAGACCTGGTCTCAAAACCAAAGAAGACAAAACGAAATAACCCTTAAATGTTGCAGTCTTCTTTTTATGATTTTCCCTCTTCCTTTGCATTTTGTTTTAAAACTTGTGGGACTCTAGTCTCTTAAATAATCCCTTGGCATTCTGTTGAAGTCTAGTTTGATTTAGGCCCCCCCGCCCCTTTATGTCATCTTTTTACTTATCAGTGTTTTCTATAGTTAGGTGAAAAGTTTGATGACTTACGTATTATTAGCACTTTGCCAAAAGTAAATCAGTAAGATAATTTGATAATTTTATGATAAGGTAAAATTTAGGAAGTGGTTTTTTTGTTTGTTTGTTTTTAAGCTTTTACAATTTTATTAGAATCTTAAAGAAAAATCCTCAGGGCAGGTGAGCTGGTAATCTTGGCAACTGCCTTGAGGAGGTGAATGGTGGGAAGAAGAAAAGAAAGCCATGAAGCCATGCAGGATTAGAGCCTGCATAGAGGTCGGACACGTGGCTGACTAGCAGCCACATGGCTGGGAGAAGGAAGCTTTAGAGAAAAAGTAAAGAAATACAAGGTGCTAGGGGCAGCCCAGAGCCTTAAAAAAGGCATGTTTAGTAAGAAAGACATGAAGAAGAAAAGGAGAAATTACACTTTCAGGAAAGTGGACAGACCTACATGACTGCTGGGGTCTGAGCTATTTCCAGGCTGGAACCTCATTAACATAGCAGGTATTCCACCCATCTATTTAGCATAACTTAAGGTGAACCTGCTTTCCTAGGAGTGGGCCTGTCACCAGGTAATTGACCTGTGAGACTGGAAAAGTAGGTCCTTCAACAGACTAGGGATTTAAAAAAAAAAAATTTTATTTATTATTTTTATTTTATGTGTTTGAGTGTACTGCTTGCATGTAGGTAAGAGGCCCTCGGATCTCCTGGAACTGGAATTACAGTTGTTAGCTGCTCTGTGGGTGCTGGGATTCGAACCTGGGTCTTCTGCAAGAACAGCCAGTGTTCTTAACTGCTGAGCCATCTCTCCGTCCCCAGACTAGGGATTCTATACTCTTAACATTACCCCCCCCCGAAGAGGTAACCCTAAACTCTTTTAAGGATTAAATAAGAGCTCCCAGATACTTACTTTTAGCCAAGAAAGAAACTGGATACTTTGAGGTCTTTTTACCCTAACTGCCTAGCCAATTTCTACCTCCTATTCTTACACACCACCCTCTGAAGGGGTTATCCAAATTGCTGATTGGCTTCTTCATGCTGAACAGGGACACAGGGTGAGGCAATTGGGATGCCCTCTCAGTGGGTCTATCTAAAAGACTCCCAAATTGCATAAATGTCCAAATCAAAGTCCATTGGAATTTCTTGATGAGGGCTTCCAAAAGCATCCATCTACTAGATTCCTTCTCATTTTTCTTTTGGCTGCCAACACTGGGCTGATGATTGATGAACTCGGGATTTGTTGTCAGGCACCTTGAAAACTGTTGGAGCGGGTAGTATCAGTTCCCTCTTAATTGGCCTATGACTGTGGCTGGTCCAGAAGTTCTGCCCAGGAAGAGGGTTTTAATGATAAGTATTTGGACTAAAGAGTTGATTTTCAGCTGGGTGTGGTGGGGCATGCCTTTAATCCCAGCACTCAGGAGGCAGAGGCAGGTGGATCTCTGTGAGTTCAAGGCCAGCCTGGTCTGCATAGTGAGTTCCAGGCCAGCTGGGGCTACAGGGAGACCCTATCTCAAAAAGACCAAAAAAAAAAGAAAGAAAAGAAAAGATTTTCATGTAATTGGTATCTGAGATGTCTGTTTGCTTGGTTTGATATTTTTTCTTTCTGAGAAGGAACAGATTAGAGAAGTTTTAGTAACTTGTAGCTCAGTACTCCTAGTCTTTTAAAATTCATTCCTAGAGATTTAAAAATCTCTCCTAGATTTAAATATTGTGTTTCTTCTTATTTTTAGGTGGAAATTCAGAGGGTTCACTGAAAAACCGTTCTGCTTTCTGTAGTGATAAGCTGGATGAGTACTTAGAAAATGAAGGCAAGTTGATGGAAACAAGCATGGGTTTCTCTTCCAATGCCCCCACATCTCCTGTAGTTTATCAGCTTCCCACCAAGAGTACAAGCTATGTACGAACACTTGATAGTGTACTAAAGAAGCAATCTGCCACTTCCCCTTCTACCTCTTACTCTGTGAAGCCTCGTTCTATGTCCACTGCCTCTCGAAAAACAAAGTCTCAAAACAAACAGACAACACTCAGTGGCCGAACTAAATCATCTTATAAATCTATTTTACCATACCCAGTTTCACCAAAGCAGAAATACTCTCATGTGATTTCGGGAGATAAAATCACCAAGAATTCTTTAAGCACCATCTTAGATAGTCAGGTGAATAACTTCGTTGTGCCAACTTTAGATGAAAATGCACTTCCAAAGCAGATTAGCTTGCGGCAGGCACAGCAACAACAGCAACAACAGCAACAGGGAACTCGCCCTCCAGGCTTGTCTAAATCTCAAGTGAAGCTTATGGACCTGGAAGACTGTGCACTTTGGGAAGGAAAACCTAGGACCTATATTACTGAAGAGCGAGCAGATGTTTCTTTGACAACTTTGCTTACAGCTCAAGTAAGTATTTGTTTTCTGTAAGCATATTGGTGTTTGGCTAGAACTTAGACACTGGTGCGTTTAATAGAAGGATAAGATAGATTTTAGCATTTCAGTTACCTGGATGACAGCTAAATAGATGTCTTCAGCTAATCCTTCAAGTATAAATCTCCTGCCAGTAGAGGAAGATAGAATGTTAATGAATAAATGAGTGAATGAATGTAAAATTCTGTACTGAGCTTGCTATGTAAGCATGAGAATCTGAGTTTGGATTCCCAGTACCCATGTAAAAGCCAGGTATGATGACATATGCCTATAACTCTAGCACTAGGGGTGGAGATGGGGCGGGACACACTGATAGTGGATCTTGGGCTCCTTGGCCGGCCAACCTGGCTGAAATGGGGAGCTCCAGGTTCAGTGAGAGACCCTCTATCAAAACTCTGGCCTCCATGTGTACGTATAGGCTAGCACACCCACACAGATGAACGCATGGATACACTGCATACACACACCACAAATAAGTAAGTACAAAAAATGAAGTTTTATGGCTAGTAAGATTGCTTCGTGGGTAAAAGTACTTGCTGCATAAGCGTGACAATGTGAATTTTTTTTTTTTGGTGTGTGTGTGTGTGTGTCTTTTGAGGCAGGGTCTCCCTGTAGCCCCAGATGGCCTGGAGCTCACTATGTAGACCAGGCTGGCCTTGAACTCACAAGAGTTCTCCCTCTGCCTGGACTAAAGGCATGCGACACCACGCCTGGCTCTGACAATGTGATTTCTTTTGTTTTTAATTTTACTTACTTATTTTTTGTTTTATGTGTATGTATGTATTGCCTGCATGTAGGTATGTGCACCCGTGTTTTGCAATGCCCGTGGAGGTCAGAAGAGGCTGTCAGATCCCCGGGGACTAGAGTAATGGACAGTCGTTAGCTGCCATGTGGGTGCTGGGATTCAAACCTGGGTCTTCTGCAAGAACAACCAGTGTTCTTAACTGCTGAGCCATCTCTCCAGCCCCTGACAACGTGATTTCAATTCCCCCAGAACCAACATAAAGTTAGATGGAGAGAACCAATTACAGTTGTCCTCTGACCTCCACACATATGCCATGACATGCATACTCTCACACATCATGCCCACGCAATAATAAAATTATGTACTAAATTCTAGAGCTGAAGATCATGAGATTTGGGGATGGTGTCTTGTAATTTGTGTATGCATGCATGGGGTGCATGGAGTGGTTGGTGTATGCATGTGTATATGTGTAGGCCCAAAGTTGGTATTGGGTGTGTTCCTGAGACTCTTCCCCCTTATTTATTGGGACAGAAACTCTCATTGAAACTGGAACTTGTTTAGCCAGCCAGCTTGCCCCAAGGACACCCTGTCTCTGCCTCCCAAGTGCTGGGATAACAGGTGGCCACCTTGCCTGCTCAGTTTTTATGTGGGCTCTGGGGATCCAAACTCTGGCCTTATGTGTTTGCATGGCAGCCTTTATCCCTGAGTCATCTGCAGCTCTGTGGTCTATATTATTAAAGATTCATGCATGTCTGATTCTCTTATTATTCTAGAGGTCAGCAGGTGTTTTGTGTAAAGTGCTAAATAGTAATTATTTTGGATTTTGCAGACCATTTATGCTTTTGGAGTTATTCACTCTGTTGTTTTACTAGAGGCAATATGTTAATGAGTGAGCCTGCCTGTGCTCTAGTGAAATTTTGTGAAACATTGTTTGACCCATAAGCCTTAGATTTGTCAATCCCTGCAGAAATATATTATGTGTGGTTTCTGTTGAATAATCTGTCCTTGATATTTTTGCTCATAATTAATAAGAATATTCTTTGTTAATATGTGCTATGCATTAAAATAGTAGCTTGGGCTGGGTGTGGTGGTGCATGCCTTTAATCCCAGCACTTGGGAGGCAGAGGCAGGCAGATCTCTGTGAGTTCAAGGCCAGCCTGGTCTACATAGTGAGTTCCAGGACAGCTGGGGCTACAGGGAGATCCTGTCTCAAAAAGAC